CAATCTCCCATGTGGAACCTTGTCGAACACCTTGCTGAAGTCCATATAGACAACATCTACCATTCTACCTTCATCAATCTTCTTTGCTATCCTTTAAAAACCTCAATCAAGTTAGTGAGACATAATTTCCCACAAACAAAGCCATGTTGACTATCCGTAATCAGTCCTTGCCTTTCCAAATACATGTAAATCCTGTCCCTCAGAATCCCCTTCAACAACTTACCAACCACTGATGTCAGGCTCACCAGCCTATAGTTTCCTGGCTTTTCCTTACAGCCTTTCTTAAATAAACACACAATGTTAGCTACCTTGCACTCTTCTGGCACCTCAGCTATGGCTAACAATGATACAAATATCTCAGCAAGGAGCCCAGCAATCTCTCCCTAGCTTCCTATCTTTATGCATTTTAAGACCTACAGCACCTCCTTTTCTGTAATATGGACTCTTTTCAAGACATAATTATTTATTTCCCCAAGTTCTCTAGCTTCCATATCCTTCTCCATTGTAAAAACTGCTGCAAAATACTTGTTTATTATCTTACCCATCTCCTGTGATTCCACATATAGACAGCCTTGTTGACCTCCCTGGTTACTCTTTTGTCTTTAATGTATTTGTAGAATCTGTTTGGATTCTTCTTAATCTTAATTTCCAAAACTACCTCATGTCCCCTTTTTGCCCCCCTAATTTCTCTCTTGAGTATACTCGTACTGCCCTTGTACTCCTCCAGTGATACACTCGATCCCAGCTGTCTGTACCTGCCATATGCCTTTTTTTTTCTTGACCACAGCATCAATTTCTCTAGTCATTGAGCACTCCCTACACCTACCAGTCTTGACCTTTACGCTAACAGGAACAAACTGTCTCTGGATTCTCATTATCTCATGTTTAAAAGCTTCCCACTTTCCAGCCATCCTTTTACCTGTGAATAGCCTCCCCGAAACAACTTTTGAAAGTTCTTGCCTAATACTGTCAAAATTGGCCTTCCTCCAATTTAGAGCGTTAACTTTTAGATCCAGTCTATCCTTTTCCATAACTATTTTAAAACTAATAGAGTTATGATCACTGGCCCCAAAGTGCTCCCCCACTGACATCTCAGTCACCTGCCCTGCCTTATTTCCCAGTAGAAGGTCAAGTTTTATTCCTTCTCTAGTAGGTACATCCACAAATTGAATAAGAAATTGTACACACTTAATAAATTTCTCTTCATCCAAGCCCTTAACACTATGACAGTCCCAGCCTCTGTTTGGAGAGTTAAGATCCCCAACCATAACTACCTTATTATTCTTACGTGTATCTGAGATTTCCTTACAAATTTGCTTCTCAATTTCCTGCTTACTATTGGGAGGTCTATAGTACAATCCCAATTAGGTGACCACCCCTTTCTTATTTCTCAGTTCCACGCAACCAACTTCACTGGACATACTCCCAGGAATATCCGCCCTAAGTACAGCCATAATGTTATCCCTAACCAAAAATGCTGCTCCCTCTCCTCTCTTGCCCAGTTTCTATTGTTCCTGTAGAATCTATACCCTGGAACATGAAGCCGCCAGTCTGGTCTATCCCTGAGCCACATTTCTGTAATCAATGTGAAATCCGAGTCCCATGTTCCCAACTATGCCCTGAGTTCACAAGGTGTAGAGCTGGATGAACACAGCAGGTCCAGCATCTGCAGTTCCTACTCTCTCTGATGCCCTGAGTTCATCTGTCTTACCTGTCAGGCCCCTTGCATTGAAATAATTGCAGTTTAGTTTATCAATTCTGCCTTGCTCTTGCCTGCCTTGACAGTTTGATTTACTCCTCTTCTCAACTGTACTAGCCTCAGAATGATCTCTTTTCTCACTGTGTCTTTGGGTCCACCCCAATCTCTCTTTACTAGTTTAAAGCCTCCTGAGTAGCACTAGCAAATCACCCTGCCAGGATATTGGCCCCCTTCCACTTCAGGTGCAACCCATCCTTCTTATACGGATCACTCCTACCCCAGAAGAGATTCCAATGATCCAAAAATGTGAATTCTTGCCCCCTGCACCAGCTCCTCAGCCACACATTCATCTCCTCTATCCTCCTGTTCCTACCCTCACTAGCTTGTAGCATCAGGAGTAATCCAGATATTACCACCCTCGAGGACCTACCCTTTAACCTCCTGTCTAATTTCTTATATTCTCTCATCAGAACCTTGTCCTTTTCTCAACATAGGTTTGCGAGTGTGCTGGTGATAGTGAATAGGGCAGGGTGCAAATTTAGATACAGGCAGCAGAATTTTGGATGAATTGATGGTGTGAAAGGTGGGGAAGCTGGCCAGGAATAGTTAAGTTTAGAAGTAACATAGACATAGAATCACAGTTGTGGCAATGGTACAGATATGTGGTCGGAGGTTCATCTTAGAGCCAAATACAAGACCAAAATTGCAAATAATGTGATTGAGCCTCACACAGTTGCCAGGGAGAGTGATGGAGTCAGTGGCTAGGAAACAGAGGCAATGGCTTCTATCTTCTGAATATTTAGTTTTTGTTCGTTGACTACTGGATGTCATGTAAGTCATGTGAAAAACTACAGTTTCTACAAATTCTTTGTGGTTCCAATCATGGACTCCCCCACCCAGTGTATTCGCCAGCCCTATACACTGAAGCTGTGTTTCAACGCTATTGACTCTAATTTCTAGAATTTCCTCTCTAAATCTCTTCAGCTGTTGACCTCCCAATTGTCCTTAAAGAGCCCTCCTTAAAGCCATCTGTTGGATTATCCTGTGAAGCATATTTCTAACAACTATTTTATTGCCTTTTTGTCCATCTTTCCTGATAATGCTTCCAGATGACCAAAGTAGTGCACAACTACTCTTTATATTGATTTCCAGAAGGCCTTCAATAAAGAGTCTCATTAGAGACGGTAACTTAAAGTTGAAGCTAGTCTAATTGAAGGCAACTTACATACCTGGATTGGAATTGACTGAATGGAAGGAGACAGAAATCATGAACAGATACTCTATTGGCAGGATATGATTAGTTGTGTCTTGTGAGGATCTATTTTGGGGTTTCAGTGATTAATTGTACTTGTTCACAACTGAAATGATGAAATAGAAAGCCACAAATTCAAATTGCCAATGTCTCAAACTCTGTACAGTTCTAAAGAACATCACAGGATTCGAAACGTTAACTCTGATTTCCCTCCACAGATGCTGCCAGACCAGCTTTTCCAGCAATTCCTGTTTTCATTTCTTGTAAGCAATATAGATGGAAGCACAAAATTTCAACAAATTAACATGAATGGGGAAATGTGGCAAATGGATTTTAACATAAATAGTTGTGGGGACCTCCACTTTGGACATAAAAAGGATAGAACTGGATACTTACTAAATAGTGAAAAGTTAGAAACAGTGGAAATACAAAGAGGCTTGGAGGTCCAGGTATATAGATCATTAAGATAGCTATAACCGTTACGGTAAATAATCAAAGAGGCTAATGGAATGTTGACCTTTAAACCTTGTGGACATAGCAATCATGCTTCAGCAATACAAAGCCTTGGTTAGGCCACACTGGAAGAACCTTAAGCAATTCTGGGCACCACACCTTATGAATGATGTGTTAACTTTGGAGGGAGTGCAGCATAGATTTACTAGAATGATAACCAAGCTCCAAGGGTGTTGCAATGTGGAGAGATTGAACAAACCATTTTTATATTCTCTGGAATTCAGAATATTAACAGATGATGTGTCTAATGTTTACAGATATTAAGGGGAATAGATAAGATAGGTAAAAAGAAACTATTTCTGCTGGTTGAGGAGTCTAATACTAGAGGGCATAGTTAACGGTAAGCAAGGCCTTTCAGGTGTGAAATTAAGAAACAAACAATGGTAAAAGTTTAGAACTCCTGTGCAAATGATAATTGATGTTAGATCAATTGTCAAATTTAATACTGAGAATTACAGAATTTCTGTTTGCCAAACCTATGAAGGTTAATCGTGTAAAGGCTGGTGTATGAAGTTAGGTGTAAATCAGCAATGAATCCCACCAATAGAGGGACAGGCTGGATGAGCTAAATGGCCTCTTCCTGTACCTATGTCAAAGATCGATCATGATCTTACTGAGAATGTCAGAGTTGTTTTAAGGAGCCACATGGCTTACAGACTAATGTTCTTATGTCATTTACATTACAATATTCTGTGTCTTGATGAGAAGAGCCCAAAGGGAGGTGAAAGTGACAATTTTCATGCCAGAGGGTGGAAACCACTGCTCAGAGTGGCAGAACTGCAAGAGACAGATTCCCACTTACTGCTCTGTACACAGCAGACAGCCATTCTGAGGGGTATAGTCTTGGACCTTCTCTGAGCTGTTTGACTTTCCTGGTTGCTGTGCCCTCTGTCCTCTTCATGAGCAATTTCTCCTCTGAAATTGAATGCTATTTGACTTCTCCATTGTGGGCCCCTTATAAAGCCCAGAACTGAAGACATGAGACAAAACATGAGTGAGCAGGGCAAAGCAGGTAAATACTAGGATAGCCCACCGACTAGGCCATCAAACTGTTGCCATAAAGGATGAATCAGAAAAAAACCCCACCTGTTTCCTAACTTAGAATTTGTCAGCCCACCATGAATGGGGAGTAATTACAGTGGATCTGCCTGGAGCTCCCTTTCCCCCCATCACCCGCAATCTCCCACACTCACACCCCTACTCCATCAGTGCCCTAAAGGGGCTATCTTCAGATATCATGTATCTGCACATTTTATCAAAGAATCAGATTGTAAGCATGAGGCATTTCACCCCTCCAGAGAAAAGGTGAAGGTAAAGTACACATTCATTCCATGGGCAATAGCAATCATTTTTACTTTTCACTGTCTTTAATATGAACTGATTCAGAGCGGGAGTGCGGGTTTCCTCTTGTTTATTAGTTTGAACAAAGATTAACTGTTTCCGTGACACCTGACAGAAACTTAGTGATCTCTCAGCTCCACCCCCACAAGGTTTAAAAGATAATTCCTGGTACTAAAGTCTGGGCAGTTTGGAATGAGCTCAGGTCCGTGACTTAATGAATATGTATGTTAGTGAGCAAATAACAAAGTTATAACTCAGTGTTAGCCAGTTAAGCTAGAGTTAGTGAATTAATTAGTTGGGTGTCACTGTGCAGTTTTATCACCTTCACATTCTGGCTCCTGTTTCTGAAGCTTCTGTTGTAGCTGATACCTACGGAACAGGTTTGAATACTAGAACTTACAGTGTTTCTAAATTTTTAACTCAATAAGTTAATTGATTGGGATATATGTTACTCTGTGTATCCTTGCCAATTGTCCACTTCCAAAGTGCCAAGATCAAGTTGAAAAAACAGTTACTTTATATTTTTGCAAATGAAAAGTCATTTTAATGTGTCTCTGGATGGTTCATCAAAAGTGAATATCTATGTATAATGTTCAGTATGGGAGAGACGACTGAGGAAGTAAAACAGTAAGAAATCAAGTGTAAAGTGTTGGAAATGCCAGCAAACTAGAATTGCATCCCGATGGTGTGGCAGTTCATTTGGACTACAGTTTGTTTAAAATGGAGTTTTAACTTTACTAGATTGTGTATTCGGTATGGAAGAGAGAATGGTGGAGAGAAGGGAAAGAGGGTGATAAGGTGAGAGGGGAAGAAGGTGGGAAAGGAGGGACAAGACAAGAATTGGGGAAGGAAAAATTGTGATGCCTAAGATTGTAGAGAATGAGAGAATCTTGAAAATTAGTATCATGTTGCAATGATGTTTAACTGTCCTTGTAAGATGGAAAAGCTGGTTTGACAACAACCGCCACCTCATTTTGGGCTATTCTGTTTCCTTTCATGTTCCTCCAATTTTAGTTTCTTTCTGACTAAATTTTAAAATCAGAAACCTTTTTCGGCTTTGTCAGTGAATGGTCAATGATCATCCAAATAAGATATCAATCAATAATAAACTTAATTTTTTTAAACAATTGCAAGATTTAATATTACCCTTTCAATGTGGAATAAATATATCAACTGTTCACTTGCACCTGATATAGAATATCCCTGTCATGCTCTGTTTACATTGTATACTGCCTAAGAATGCAAAATGCATTTGGCAAGAGATTAATATAAACACTCGACTATACGAGAGCTCAGTGTGTCTGCATCTTTGTCTAATGTTAGATCAATAAGAGGAGCATTACACATTATAAAATTGACATTACACTGACCATGATCTACAAGCCACAGGGTGTACTGCCCAAAGTGATGCAATGTAGATCCCAGGATCCTACACTGGGGAGCAGTATGATTTCATTTGGAATCATTAGCAATGAGGTTCACACTCCCATTGATATTGAGGATTTCACACTGACCTAGACTTTCTGCCCCAGTAAATATTTTTCAAGCCTTTGATGCTGAAGATTACCATCATTAACATCTTTCTTATAAAATGAGGCTCCAAGTTCTTCATTAGTAAGGGGATCAAGAGAGAAGGCAAGAGAATGAAATTGAGAAACATTTGAGGCATGATCAAATGGCAGTGCAGACTCAATGGGTGGAATGACCTAATTCTATTCCAGTATCTTATGGTCTAAGTAACCGTATTGCAGGTTACAAGTGTTTTGTTCCAGAGATCACAACTTGGATATTGACAGCTTCAGTTGCAGAAAGAGGAAAGCCAACCCAAGTGCATTTGTGTGATGTTAAACATCTTCCTTTTGTAGTGTGAAATAAACTTATAAACATTTCTGAAGAACTGTCTAGGCCCGAAACGTCAGCCTTCCTGCTCCTCTGATGCTGCTTGGCCTGCTGTGTTCATCCAGCTCTACACCTTGTTATCTCAGATTCTCCAGCATCTGCAGTTCCTACTATCTCCGAAACTTATAAACTGGTCACTTGCACCCAATGTAGAATATTAATGTCTAGCTCTGTTTACCACATTTTTGCCTAAGTGTAGGTCATGTTTATATGCGTTCTTAGTCATAGAGCGGTATAAACAGAGCAAGACAAGAATATTCTACATCAAGTACCAAGTAAGCAATTGATGAGTTTATTTTACACTGTAAACGAAGATCTTTAAATCATTCTTAAATGCACTTGGATCGACCTGTTTCAGCTACTGAAGCCGCTAATAGCCAAGATGTGATCTTGAGAACAAAATACTTGCAACCGAATGCATGATTACTTGGAGCCTCAGAAACAAGAATGAATTTCATGTCCTTTGGAATTTCTGTCAGTATAATTTGACTAAGAGAACCATAAACAGAAGATAAAGCTTGAGTAGTTCAGCGATGGTATCTCAGCCCTGTCTCCCACTCACACCCAGCCATTATAATAATAAACCTCATCTCCAAGTAAATCATCATTCCTTACAATCAGAGCAATTTTTTAAAAAATGCCAGAAATTACCCTGGACTGTGAGGCTATTGTGATATCTGTAGTACCAAATAATGCTCTCAGCCGATTCACTGGAGGGTGTAATGATGAGAATCTTTGCAGTTAGCAGCAAATTACAGGGCTGTATGTAAACAGGAGAACAATTTGCTGTGGATTGAACTTTACCTCTTTTTTGTCTGATGGGACAACAGCTTTGCGAAAAGAAATGCTGAATCAATCTCTCTGAAGCAGCTGAGAGAAAACTGTTTTGGAGTTTTGGCTGTGACCATTTCTGTGCTGCAGGAAGCTTGGCGGTTTAACTCGGAATATTCAAACAAGAATGTTTCAGGAGAATTGGGCACAGATTTGTAAGCCCATAATGCATGCCAAGACTTTGGAAAGGAAAAAGAGATTGGAATTGAACCAGTAGTTTACAAGAACTAAAGGGGGTAGAGAGGGATCACTGTCAGTACAGTAGAAAAATTTTTTTCTGATGAAGGGTCTAGGCCCGAAACGTCAGCCTTTCTGCTCCTATGATGCTGCTTGGCCTGCTGTGTTCATCCAGCTCTGCACCTTGTTATCTTGCAGACTGTCTGTTCCTGATCACTCTTCCCTAACCCTGATCCAAAATACACATTTGATGAAGTTGGGTGAGGACTTGATGGCTCAGCTGTGGACTTTCCATAATGAAATAGTTGGAGATTAAGTGTTGAATTTTACTAGCCCTTGGCTAATGGGAGTAGTTGCAGAAGAGAGTTTTAAAATAGAGGGATCAGGGACGTGGACCTGGATCAGCTCTCCACTGTACTGAGGCATACAGTCAATTACCCAGTTCAGGGTAATTTAAATGGTCTGGACTCCCACAGCATAGTGAGGCTGACTAGTCCCTGGAAGCAGCCTTCCTGTAGCAGTTTATGGGAAAGAGGAAGCTGTAGGGAGCCAAGACAGCCCATACCTCTCCAAATGATTCTGATTGGAGAGGCCTTCCTGCTGGCACTTCCAAATTTTTGTCTTAGATGTCCACTGATGCCTCTATGTTTGTCTCAATGTCCTAACATTAGGGGACAATTCAGTGTTTGCTGCCTGGTGTTAAACAAGAGGAATAGTTAGTTGGATAGATATCAGAGGGCACACAACCCAGCATGGTGTTCACCAGTGCCTTTACCTTCAGGCGCTGGGAGGGGAGCAGTAAAAACCATCAGTATGTGGAGAAGAACCTTCCTCGCAGGGAATGAAGGGAAGGTTTATAGCCAGTGATGTCTGATCAATTCCACTTTGGCAGAGGAGAGTAATTTGTACCTTTGGCTACACCCTTAATCTTTCTCCTGTCCACATTCTTGCCCTCACTATCTCACTGATCTCTTGTGGAACACCTATGTCTCCTTTGTCTCTACAGCTGTCTCAGTATCTTCTTTCATTCCATAACATTCCATAATGTTTTTCTGCTCAACAACTCTTATCTCTAAGTCTTAAATCAATCTTAAGCCGTAACTCCTGCTCCTCTCTTTCACAGGATACAAAACAAAACCTATCACCTGAGGCATCTCCAGGGGCCAGCTTCTCATCTCCAGGGGCCAGCTTCTCCCTCCATTTTTCCCTCTGTTGTTGATGCACCTAACCAGTGGTTCTCTCAGTTTTACTTAGTTGATTGCCGAACACTTTAAACCTTCTGCCCTCATAACTCTTCCTTCTCCCTGCACTATCACTGTTGTAACATTAATGAAGTTTACAGACTTCTATTGCTCTTTCTTTTTCTTGACTTTAAAAAACTCTTCACGTTTCATTTTGGGATTGCTAGGAAGTTCTCTTTATGGGAAGAACAGCAGCAACTTGTAATTATACAAAGCCCCCGTGTAATAAAGTGTCCTGGAACAATATTAAGTAAAATTTGCTGCATAAGTAGCTACTAGGACAAGATTTGGTCAAAGAGGTAGGTTTTAAGGAGAATCCTCAAGGAAGAAGAGGTAAAGTGACACCAAAACTTTAGTGGGGGGGAGTTTAGATATCTGAAGGGATGGCCTTTAAATGGTTGAATAAGGAAAACTGGGACGTGCAAGGGGACAGAACTGGAGAGTGCAGAGACTTGTGAGAGTTATAGGGCAGGAGGAGATTACTCTCTCATGGGGAATATGTTCCTTAAATAGATCCTAGCAAACAGTCTTTGATCCCAGATACTCCTAATTCAGAACCAGAGTCTATTGCATCCTCTTGTCCATCCTATTTTTTTTCTCAAAAACATACTTTTATTCATAAATTGTGTAAAGGTACATAATAATTGAAATTTGACATTACATAAAATGCAGCAAAGATCAATTTCTGGCAATAAAGTACATGAATTGCTTTACTACATGTGCCGTTACAGGATCAGGCTGGTCCACATACACCCTGACTAAACTCGACCATAAAGAGGAAAAGCTCTACCCTTACTATTTTGGGTTTGTTCCCACTTTAGCATCTTGTATTTAACACTGGTTTGTTGTTCTTTACCAGATCAGTTTAATTATGGCATAAGTCCAGGGAATTGATATAACCAACAACATGGGATGGGTCAAAAAGATGACAGATCCTCCACAATTACTAGTGACAGCATAGTTCATTGACCAGCCTCTGACTAAGAAATGAAGAGGCATATTGAGGACAGTTGAAGTTTCTCGATCTGAATGACATTGGCTATTTATTGTTCTGATGCAGATCTTTCTCAAGGATTGAGGACATGCTCTGTCAATCTTTGAAAAGATACTGAGGGCAAAATTTTCCCCTCCCTTGTGGAGCGTGAATAATATAGGAAAAGGTGGAAAATACAGAAAAAATGTAAACATCAGAAACTCGATTTTGAGAATTTTTTCCCCCTCAAATGGCAACTTAAAAAGCAACTTGCGAATCTCACCATTGAGCACTGGTTAACTTATTTTCCTACATTTGCATCTCATTAAGGCCAAATTCTCCATATTTATATACAACTACCAATTGTCATCTCCTTCCCTGAGAAACTACAGCGTGCAATTTCCTAACATCAATCAGAGTGGTGACCAGGCCACCAATGTTCCTTTGCATCTTCTTTTCAGTTGCCTCGGTCTCTGAGGTCCATGCATGGTAACAACTTCCAGACCCAGAAGTCAGTGCTACATTCAGAATCCTGATGCTGATTATGCTGCACAGGACCTTGCAGCAACTTAGAAGCAAAGTTGCTCGCTGCTGCAGATGCTTGTCCCAGTCATCATGCAACTGCTTCTTCACAACAACCTCCCTGAATCCTCCATGGTCGAAATCCTCCTGGACCCTTCCTCCGTGCAGATCAGCATCACCAAATTCCAGCCTTACTACATCAAACCTGCTTCCAGGCTAACTCTCACACCACTTCAGCCCTTCATCCTTTTACTCTGGCGCTCAAGGACTCCTAGGTCTTGGATGATTCTGCCAGGTCGCACACATCTCATGCATCTGAACAAGGTGTATCTTATGGCCTTTGTCTTGCTTTCTCAGTGCACACTCACTAGCTCTAGCATTGACTTACAGAATGCCTGCCTCTGTGGCTTGCATTTTTTTTAGCATAGCTTGTCACAGTAGGTAAGGTTTCCATTTGCATCAGACTATGTTTAATGTGCGATCTGTGTGCCTACCTTACAAACCTCTCAGTTCAGTGCCCATTAGAATCCCAGAAAAATGTACTCCGGGGGGAATCAAATCCCAGGGATTGTGTCCCAGTGAGAGTCAGCCCATTCAGGAGACCAAGAAAAAAATGCACAAAAAAATTAAACTTTTATAAAAAAAAGCAAAAGAAAATATAAAACTTGACTGGTCACTTTTTGACAGATTATGTGCACCTCTTACACATATCCATGAACCCTTTCAATCTTGAAATATATCTAAATGCATCTTAGTCTTTTTAATACTGTGTACGTTTATGTCTATATCCAGTAATTTATCCAACAGTCTTCTTAGCTTTAGGGTTAAATTGTTCTGTCTCTTCTTGTCACTACCATCCCTATTTTCACCTTGCACCCCTTGGATCTGGACATTTGAACATAATGATCAATTTTTCTAATTTGTCAAACCTCAAACAAATCCTGAATTGTCCTTTAATATAAGGTGATTTATTTTACAGGATAATTGTTAATTGGTACTATCGGTGCAAAACATGGAACCCACTAAAGAGTTGGACAAACTGCCGATAACAGAGGCGAAGACAGAATTCAGGAACACACTTCACTTGAAGATATCCCTTGCTGTAATGTCCTTGTGTCTTATCATAGCTGCCATTATTCTGGGAGTTTATTTTGGTGAGTCAAAAAAAGTGTTATTTTCTGAAGATCATTGTGAATTCAGTTCATTGTTTTCTTACTAATTAGCCCCCTCCTTACCTTCATTTCCATTTATAGTCATGTTCCTGACTAATGTTTTCACCTATTTTTCTCCCAGCTAAACTGAACCAAGGGACTCGTCACCTATGAGCAAGTGGGGGAATATCAAATGGTAATTCATTATTGGGAGCCTCAGGATATTCTTGTTCCTTCTAGTCAGTGGAAAACACAACTTCTCATTGGCTATTCATAACATAAACCACATTGTTGCAGTATTCATTGATATTCTGACTGAAAAGAGCACAAACCAGAGATTGAGTGTAGGATTCCCTCCCTTTTGCTGGCTGAACACGCAAATGGGCTATGAATTTAGTCATTGAGCACATTTCCAATGCATATCTACTATATTCATCTCTTTTTCCTTAATACAGGGATACACGAAGCTCAAAAAAAACCCCCATCCGAACAACACCCGACCATGAAAGCGTGTAAGTACAACTTCTTTTCATTCACCGCCTCAGATTGTTGAACCACATGACTCCTATTAATGTTTGGTTACTATAGCATCATGTTGTGAGAAACTGCCATTTACACAGGCCAGTCTTTGTGAATGGGGCTTTAGAATTTCAGGTGCTGATTTGGTGATTTGGCTGAATATACCAATGGCACACCCGTTCCTGTTGAAAACCTAATTTAATATTAGAATGCATGCAGACAGAAATTGCACACTGTAAGGCTGACCAACAATCGCCCAGAAGAATCTCTCTTATCTGTTAAACCTACTGACTGTCTTTATACCTGTCACAATTGTTTTTTTAACAAAGTGGAGTCCTCCTTGCTTAAAACATCTACATTTAAAACGGTAACTACTTGCATTAAGGCTATTGCAAGGTTGTCAATTACAGAGGTTAAAGTTTTCTGTTTGCTTCAAGCAGGAAGTTGTTCACAGCTTTAGCCTGACTGTAAATTCCATAGTTTTCAGGGTCATATGGTTATTACATAACAGATTGAATGGCAATCATTAAAAGAGCATGTAATGAAAAGACTGAATTATTGCAGCAAAAAATTAGTACCATGATTTCTACAAACGTCAAGGGTTCAGCTTTTGTTACAGAATTCAGCAGTTTCCAGAATAGTCCTTGAGCTGTATGAAAATATGAATAACTGACACATTTTGAAAAATATATTCTGAACGTATTTAGCAAAATTGATAATTCACCTCAGCATCTGAAACATAGTGCGCCAATTCAGTATTTTTGCTCAAGTAGCCATTTTATCTTACAGTTAAGATAATTGTATTTTTCCTTCTTTTTCTGGATCTTGCTGAGATGCTTGCCTGGGAATTGCTCATTTCTGAAAGACTAATCCTGGCCCTTTAGTGCCTTGGGACCATTGGCAGGAAGAGGCTGGCACTGGGGAGCTCGGAATCGTTGGTCAGGTATAAGGTCTGGCATCAATTGGTTCGTTCAGGTAGAGGATTCAGAAAACTGCAGATACTTTAATTTGATATCCCTTCCAGTGGCAAGCTGTCAACAGCAAACAGTACTACAACCAACAGCTTGTCCAGAATGAACAACTGAGGTTCATCCCTAAATACCAGTTGACATCAGTGCTGTGCCATGGCAGCAGTCACATCCTGTTGCCAGAGATTTGATTGGATATACAACTACAGGAACTTCATAAATAAGCCTGATCCCTTCCTAACTGGACATTCACATCCATGTGGTTTCCAGTACAATTTACGGAATAGTGATCAGGAGGGATATCCTTGGATGAACTTCAACAATTGTACATCCCTGTCTAGCGTAAGAGTAAAATAGGGAAGGTGGCTCAACCATGGTTAGCAAGGGAAATCAGGGATAGTATTAAAGCCAAAGAGGACAGATATAAATTGCCCAGAAAAAGCAGCAAACCTGAGGACTGGGAGAACTTTAAAATTCAGCAGAGGAGGACAGAGGTTTTAATTCAGAAGGGGAAAATAGAATACAAAAGTAAGTGGGGAAAACTGACTGCAACAGCTTCAATAGATATGTGAAGAGAAGAAGACTGGAGAAGATCCTTACAGTTACAATCAGGTGAATTCATTATGGACAACAAAGAGACGGCAGACCAGTTGAACAAATACTTTGGATCTCTCTTCACTAAGGAGGACACAAATAATCTTCCAGAAATGCTAGGGGACAGATGGTCAAGCATGAAGGAGGAACTGAAGGAATTCCTTATTAGTCAGGAAATGGTATTGAGGAAATTGATGGGATTAAAACCAAAGGTCCCCAGGGCCTGATGGTCTACATTCCAGAGTACTTAAGGAAATGGCCCTAGAAATAGTGGACACATTGGTAATCATTTTCCGGCATTCTATAGACTCTGGAAAAGTTCCAATGGACTGGAGGGTAGCTAATGTAACCCCAATTTTTAAAAAAAGGAGTGAGAGAGAAAACGGGGAATTATAGGTTGATTGTGGGGGATATGCTGGAATCAATTATTATAGCTGAGCATTTGGAAAGCGGTGACAGAATTGGTCCAAGTCAGCATGGATTCACTGAAGGAAAATCATGCTTTACAAATCTTGTGGAATTTAGCCAGTGGATGTTGATTCAGTGTTGTGTATCTGCACTCTCAAAAAGGCCTTTGATAAGGTTCCACACAAGAGATTAGTATGCAAAATTAAAGGTCATGGTATCAGTGGTAATGTATTGCTATGGATAGAGAACTGGTTGGCAAACAGGAAACAGAGCTGGAATAAACAGGTCGTTTTCAGAATGGCAGGCAGTGATAAGTAGGATACGGTTCAGTGCTGGGTCCCCAGCTGTTCACAATATACATTAACCATTTGGACGAAGAAATTCATTGTAGTATCTCCAAATTTGCAGACGACACTAAGCTGGCTGGCAGTGTGTGCTTTGAGGAGGATGCTAAGAGGCCGCAGGGGCCTTGGGCAGACTGGCTGAGTCAGCCAATACTTGGCAAATGCAATATGATGTCAATAAATATGAGGTTATTCATTCTGGTGGCAGATTGTTATCTGAATGGTGGCAGTTTTGGAAAAGGGGAGGTGCAACAAGACCTGGGTGTCATGGTAGATTAATCACTGACAGTTGGCATGCAGGTGCAGCAGGTGGTGAGGAAAGCTAATGGCATGCTGGCATTCGTAACAAGGGGATTTGAGTATCGGAGTAAGGATGTCTTGCAGTTATAAAGGGCCTTGGTGAGACAACACCTTGAGTATTCTGTGCAGTTTTGTTCTCCTAGTCTGAGGAAAGACATTGCTGTTGAGGGAGTCCAATGAAGGTTCATCAGACTGATTCTCAGGATGGCAGGACTGACATATGAGGAAAGACTGGATCGACTGGGCTTGTACTCACTGGAATTTAGAAGAATGAGGAGGAATCTCATAGAAACATATAAAATCCTGATGGGACCGATCAGGCTAGATGCGGGAACAATGTTCCTGATGTTGGGGAAGTTTAGAACTAAAGCGTCACAGTTCAGAATAAGGAGTAAGCCATTCAGGACTGAGATGAGGAAGAATTTCTTCACTCAGAGTTGTGAACCTGTGAAATTCTCTCCCACAGGAAGCTGTTGGGGCAAATTCATTGGATACCTTCAAATGGGAGCTGGACCTGGCCTTTGTGGCTAAAGGGATCATGAGGTATGGGGAGAGGGCAGGAATGGGATACTGAAATTGCATGATCATACTGAATGGTGGTGCAGGCTCGAAGGGATGAATGGCCTACTCCCACACCTATTTTCTATGTTTCTATGTTTCTAATATTTTCACTTTCTAGCACTAGAGCTGATTATAGCATCCCCTTGATGAACCAGTTGTAACCAACCAATTCAACAGAGACTGCGAATGGAATCTAGTGGTGTGTATGTATGACTGAAATACTCACTACATAAACCAACGACAGTGATTATAGATTTCAAACTGAGAGCATTTTTTTTGCTAAAAACGATTTAAAATTTAACTCAACACCTCAGACACTATAAAATTTCTTCTCTTTATCAAATCTCCTCCCATTCTCATGATTTCCTCACCAAACAAGGATAGGCAATCTTTCCCCTTAATTCAGCCCACAGTGTTTAAGAATCAGTTTTATAGCTCTGCTTTGGACTCCCTCCAACAATGCTACATCTTTTCCATATTGCAGTATTCAACTAGCACTTCAGCATCACCTTCTTAGATTTGTTTCTTATCTCTGGGCAGACTTCCCAATGCTTTGTTTGCTTTCTTCTCCACCGTAGCAAATATTGATTATCAGTCTTAATGTTGTAACACTCACCTGTAATTATCTTTGTGTTAATATTCTGGCAAACAGTGTCTTATGGTTCTCGGTCACTTGCAAAATTCACATGAAGTGATACAAATGCAAAAACAATGCTAATTTCCTGTGAAGCTTTGTGGTCAGTGGTAGAGTAAAGAAACAACAGAGCTCAGTAAATGTCTACACAATAATACAGCTCTTTGTTCTCTGAAGTATTATTTACATCTCACTTACTGCCTGAATATAATTCATCAAATAAGTACCAATCCATTATCTGGTACCCGAAACATGTATTAATACATTTTGCAGCTAATTGTCTATGAAGTTAATAAGATTTCATGAGGCATCTGGTAAGTTATAGATCATTTGAAAGATTTCCCACCAGGGAAATGGCTCATTTTGGGACAGGAGTGAGTGCAGGCTGTGGTCCTTCTGTGGAGACTTCCCCCTAGGGAAGTCACCCAGATTCAGTTGGAGCAGAATGCAGATTTTTTTCCCCATTGAAGGACAGAGTGCAGGCCTTGTTGTGACCCTATTCAAAAAATTTCCCCACCAGGGGAAGTGGCCCATTTTCAGACGGGACCAAATCTAGCTGTGGTCCTTCTGCGGTGCAGTGCCACCAGGGGACGTGCCTCCCTGCCCCCGCTTCTGTCGGGGCAGGTATCAAATAAAAACATAATGTTTTGTGACATTGAGCCCTAGAGTAAGAAATGAGGACTGTTGGCCAATTGTTTTAAGGTTTCAGTTGTATCTTATAAGAGTGAAGAGAGAGAAAAGTGGAGACGTTTAGGAGAGTTTAGTACCTGGGCATCTTAAGCCAACAGTGATGGAGCAATTAGAATCAGGCATGAGCAGGAGGCCAGAGTTAGAGGAGTGTGAATATTTCAGAACATTATGGGGTTGGAGGAAATTGCAGAGACTTGTGAGAGGTCTGAGAAGACCATGAAGATATTTGAATGGCAATAGATTGGGAAAGGGGAATTTGCAATGAGACCTGGGTGTCCTTGCATACGCATGTCGCTGAAAGTAAGCATGCAGGTACAGCAGGTGGTGAAAAAGGCAAATAGTATGAAGGCCTTCAAAACGAGAGGACAAGAGCAGAGATGCCTTACTGCAATTGTACAGGGCTTTGGTGAGACCACATGGGTGTATTGTGTAGGAATATTTTGTGCAGTTTTGATCTCCTTATCTGAGGATAGACATTCTAGGTATGGAGGGGCTGCAACAAAGGTCTACCAGACTGATTCCTGGGATTGCAGGACTGACGTATGAAGAGAGACTGCATTGCTTAGCACTGAGCACTGAATTTGAAAAGAGTCTGATGCTCAAAGGGACTTGGGAGTTCTAGTTCAGGATTCTCTTAAAGTTAACATGCAGGGTCAGTTGGCAGTTAGGAAGACAGGTGTAATATTAACATTCATTTCAAGAGGGCTAGAATACAAAAGCAGAGGTGTACTGCTGAGGCTGTATAAGCATCTGGTCAGACCACAATGTGGAATATTGTAAGCAGTTTTAGGTCTCGTGTCTAAGAAAGAATGTGCTGGTGTTGTAGGGGGTCAAGAGAAAGTTTACAAGAATGATCCCAGGGATGAAGGACTCATCATATGAAGAGTGGTTGAAGACTCTGGGCCTGTGCTCAATGGAGTTTAGAAGAATGAGGGAGGATCTGATTGAAATTTACAAAATAGTGAGAGGTCTGAATAGAGTGGATGTGGAGAAGATGTTTCAGCTACTAGGAGAGACTAGAACCCAAGGGCACAACCTCAGAGTGAAGGGACAATCCTTTAGAGCTAAGATGAGGAATTTCTTCAGCCAAGAGGTGGTTAATCTGTGGAACTCATTGCTGCAGAGGGCTATGGAGGCAAAGTCATTGAGTGTATTTATGACAAAGATAGGTAAGTTTTTGTTTGGTAAAGGGATCAAGGATTACAGGAGAAAGTAGGAGGATGGGGTTGAGAAACATATCAGCCATGATTGAATAGCAGAGAAAAGTTGGTGGGCTGAATGGCCTAATTCTGTTCCTATATCTTATGGTCTTATCATTCTTAGTGCCTATTGCAGTTTGTAGGTTGGTTAGACAACGTCTGATTAGGTAATTGATTTCTGCATACATCTATAAAACAAAATAAGTGCTACTTCTGACTGCTATGTTTAATCACTTGGATGTGAGTGTCAATTGCTGGGCCGTCATTTGTTGCCGATTGCTAATTGCCTTCATGAATATGTTAGTAAGCGGCCATCTTGAACCACAGTGGTCCTTGGATGTAGGTACACCAAAGGTACGACTAGGAAGGGAGTTCCTGGATTTTCAACCAGCAATAGCGAAAGAATGACAATACAGTTCCAAAAGTGGATTGTGTGAGATTTGAAAGGGAACTTGCAGGTGACGGTGTTCCCTGTATCTGCTGTTTTATCTTTCAAGGTGGTGGACTTTTCAGTTTGGAAGGTAATGTGAAAGCAGACCGAGTTACTGCAGCATACACATTGCTGCAACTGTATTTCAGATATTGGGGGAATTAATGTTTAAGTTGATGGAAGGGTGTCAATCAAGTAAGCTATTTTTTCCTGGATGCTGCTGAGTTTCCTGTATGTTGTTGGAGCTGCATTTATCCAGGCAAGTGGAGGAAATTGCTTCACATTCCTGGCGTGAGCCTTGTAAATGGTGAGTAGACTTTGGGTAGTCGGTAGGCAATTCATTTGTGTCAGAATTCCCAGCCTCCGGCCAATGACAGAGAAGATTGATGAAGGCAGAGCAGTGGACATTGCCATATAGACTTCAGCAAAGTGTTCGACAAGATTCTGCATGATAGACTAGGTAGGAAGGTTAGATCACATAGAATCCAGGAGGAGCTAGCAATTTGGATGCAAAATTGGCCAGAAGATAGGAGAAAGAAAGTGGCGGTGGAGGATTGTTCTTTGGACTGGAGGCCTGTGACCAGCGGTGTGCCGCAAGGATCGGTGCTGGGTCCACTGCTTTTTGCCATTTATATAAACGATTTGGATGTGAACATATGAGGTATGGTTAGTAAGTCTGCATATGACACCAAAATTGCTGGCGTAGTGGACTATGAAGAATGGTATCACAGAGTACAACAAGATCTTAATCAGATGGACCAATGGGCCAAGGAGTGGCAGGTGGAGTTTAATTTAGATAAATATGAGGTGTTGCATTTTGGTAAGGCACACCAGGGAATACCTACACAATTAATGATAGGGTCCTGGGGAATGTTGTCGAACAAAAAGACCTTGGGATGTAGGTTCATAGTTCCTTGAAGGTGGAGTCACAGGTAGACAGGATCATGAGGAATGCATTTGGTTACTTACCTTTATTGATCAGTGCATTGAGTGTAGGAGTTGTGAGGCCATGTTGCGACATTGGTGAGGCCACTTTTGGAATACCGTGTGCAATTCTGGTCTCCATGCTATAGGAAGGATGTTGTGAAACTTGACAGGGTGCAGAAAAGATTTACAAGGATGTTGCCAGGATTGGAGGGTTTGAGCTAAAGGGAGAGGCTAACTAGGCTGGGGCTATTTTCCCTGCAGTGTCAGGTGTTGAAGAGTGACCTTGTAGAGGTTTATAAAATCATGAGGGGCATGGATAGGGTGAATAGCCAAGGTCTTTCCCCCAAGGTAGGGGAATCCAAAACTAGACGGTGTAGCTTTAAGTGGGCTAAGGTATAAAAGGGAATTAAGGGGCAACTTTATCATGCAGAGGGTGGTGTGTGTACGAAATGAGCTGCCAAAGGAGGTGGTGGAGGCTGGTACAATTACAACATTTAAAAGTCATCTGGATGGGTACTTGACGAGGAAGGGTTTAGAGGGTTATTGACCAAAAGGTTGCAAGTGGGGCAAGATTAATTTAGGATATCTGGTCAGCATGGACAAGTTGGATGAATCGTCTGTTTCTATGCTGTACAACTCTATGACTGTAATTCCTGCAGCAATGTCCTGAGGCAGTAGTGACTGACTTCAACAGCCACAGCCATAGAAAAAGGGAATGTAGCAACAGGAATAGGCTATTTGTGCCCTTGAGCCTGTTCCAGTCTTCACTGTGATCACTGTTGATCTGGTTAAGGTTTTGGTTTCACTCCTTGTTCTAGCTCAGATGTTCATCTGGTTTCACTCTGGCTTTTCTGTAGAAGTTTATGTAACTAAGTGCTGGCTAGGCTATTTCCAGAACTAACCACATATAGGAAGAATCATGTAAGGACAGCTTTTTCCAAAAGGCTCTCAGTGAGCCAGATGAGTTGTCATTACTATCAATGGTAGTTCCATGGCAAGGTTAAAAGAGAATAGCTTTCAATTCCAATTTTAGCCATGATCAGATGAACCCATGTCCCCAGATCATTAATCTGCAGCTCTGGATTATCAGACCAATGACATCACCAGGAGGCCAATGCCCTCCTCATATGTTTGTTCATTTTTTCTTATCTCATCCCTGTGCTGTCTAAAGACTGTTTTTGTATAATCTCAGTCCTGGTGAGTATAGGGGAATATTCATTCTGTCAAAGGATGTGGGCATTTTTGGCGGGGTCAGGATTTGTTGCCCATTCTTACTTGCTCCTGAATTGAGTGACTTGCTTGGCCATTTCAGAGGGCAATTATGAGTCAACTACATTGCTGTAGATTTGGAGTCACATGTAGGCCAGACCAGGTAAGAATTCACTACAGGACATTCATGAACCACATGGGTTTTTACAGAAATCGAGATAGTTTTATGGTCATCATTAAGTACAATGTACTAATGCCTTGTTCTTTGTAATACAGCAGGCTGCCCAGCTGGGAATTACATCTGCAAGAACGGCCAGTGTCTTACAAAATCCAATCCAGAATGTGACAAGACAAATGATTGCTTGGACCAGTCAGATGAGTCAGAGTGCAGTAAGTTTTAATTTTAGGTCATATTCATTTCCAGACCATACATTACATGTGTCTACACTTTAAAAGATGCTGATTCAAAAAACATTCTGTTGCTTTCACCTGATATCAATTGTTGTATTCATTAGTTCTTAGCTGCACAATAAGCCAATAAGATGCACAGAATGCATTGATCCCAGATTTGAACAGAGGCTGAGATACTGTTCTTTGAATCCTTAGCATTCTATTTTCCCTGTAGGAATTGTTTTGACTCCAGGCTATACATTGTCCCTACCTTTCTCTTTCAAAATCTGTTTTTGTTGCATGCTGTGTATCATATGGAACTGTCAAGATTTAGGAGCTATCCATTTTCTTGGTGCCCTTCATCAACCTTGCAATCTACTCTAATTAGTAACATTATGAGTGTCAGATGTAGGTTCCAGCATGAGTCACTCCTGCTCGCTTTTGCCTGAATCACAATTTCACTTAAACAGCAGCTGCTTCTGTCAGTAATACACACTCCCTAGTGCAGTCATGCAAAGATTAGATACAGCGTAAAGTTCCTTCTGCACTGTTCTAATGAACACCCAGAGGTCAGGTACATTATAGAGTTAAATGGACATTACAGGTCATGCGTTGTACATTTACTGAGATTTCTGTTGGCTGAGTTCTGGAAGTGGATGAGCAGATTAGTTCCTAATGAATTTGGTGCCTGAGACCATATTGGCCAAGCTGGGAGTCCATGTGACACACAAGGGACACCCTGACTCTAATCTGTCATTAGCAAAAGAACACTCAGGGTATACCTCTCTAATTCAACTGTGGACCTCAGTGTTTGGTTATGAAGATCTTCTGTCATTTTCTTTTATAGATTGTGGTACCCCCTTGATATCGAACAGAATTGTTGGGGGCAAGGAAGCTGCCTTTGGGGAATACCCGTGGCAAGTCAGTCTAAATGTAATTGACATTGGCCATGACTGCGGAGCTACAGTTGTAGCAAGCACATGGCTGATCTCAGTAGCTCATTGTTTTATAAGGTGAGTCATTCTTTGAATTGATCCACGTTGATTGATTTAGACACACATTCAAGGCTGTGAGACACAACCATTCCAATCTGGTTCTTTTGACTAACACCTCACCATGGTATTTTGAGGCTTTGAGCTCCCAGAAGTTTAGCTGGTAAAGTTCTCCAGTAACAGACCCATACCAGATCATTCTGGGATCTGGTCCTGATCTGTGTATGACTGAGCCAGACAGCAGGTTCTGATGAAAGTTCATCAACCCCAGAAATGTTAGCTCTGTTTCTCCCCATAGATGTTACCTGTCCTGCTGAAGTTTTCTAGCACTTTTTGTTCTAGTTTCATATTTCCAGCAACGACATTATTTCACATAGTATAAGAGGTTAGGGAGTCTCTGGCTTTAATCACAGTGCCTGCTGATCTTAGCTCGCTGGCCGTAGAGACTGTAATTGGTCTCTGTTCTTTGTGCTAGTGGGAAGAAAATTGGAATTTATTCAAAATTGAATTAATTACCAGGGGAAACTATACCCCCTGTGGGTGTCAGGACCCGAAACTCTAACCCAGTGGAAGTCAGTATCCAGGATACTGTCTTCCAGCGGTAGTCCATGCCCAGAGAACTATGGCGCAGTGAATGCCAGCATTTATGGGTGTTAAGATGCAAATCTTTACCCAGTGGGTGTCAGCACCCAGGAAACTGTACTCTAATGTGTATCAGCACCCAGGTACTATATTGCAGTAAGGAGTCAGCACGCAAGAATCTGTAGGCCAGTGAATGTCAGCATCCAGGGCACTGTTACCGAGTGGGAATTGACAGCCAGTAAGTTGTACCTCAGTGAGTGGCTATCAACATCCACACAACCAGAAGCCAGTGTGAGTCACTGACCTCAGGACAAAAAGAAATCTCATGATAAATCAGCAATTTGACAGAAGAATCATTGTTCTGTTTTGGCTCTTTGCAGCTTTCAAGACCCAAAATACTGGGAGGCAGTCCTTGGAACTATCTACAGAAATGATGAAACTTCTACAGCAGTGAAAAGGAAATTGAAGAGGATCATTGTTCATCCGTTATTTGACCCATCTACTCTTGACTATGATGTGGCTCTGCTGGAGTTAACCACTTCCATATCATTTTCCAGATCTATCCAGCCTGTGTGTTTACCATCTCCTGTTCATATCTTCCGCACAGGAAAGAACTGCACGATCACAGGATGGGGATTTCTGAATGAAAACAATGGTGTGGAGATAATTTATTTGTAAAGTCATTCTTTTTTGTTCTTCAAAGAAAAATTCAAAAATTGCTAGTGACCCTCAACCTTTAAGACCCCTTCATGTGATCTCCCCTGAACTAGATATGGGTTGCTATACCCCTCAGTTGATCTTCAAAGTAGGCATGCTATCAAAGTAAACACACTGTTCCTCGAGTTTCACATATGGAAGTTCCTTTCCTCCTTTGCTTAGACAAGAACTTAGCGTATGGTGGATCTATTGTGCAGGGAGCTGGTGCAGTCCAACTGCAGTGTTACCCTCTGAAATTGTTCATAATTTGCTACTCTTCCCCTTTTTTAATGCTGATACAGTAGACATTTTGCAACAATAGGAACTCCCAATGTATCATTGTGCGCTCATTAAGATGTAACATTGAATGATGCTTGTGCCACACATTGGCAGAAACAAAAATAACTGACAAGGTATGACATTGTTGTGACAAGGTCTGATCCTGGCATGATGTTGGGATGTCATTCAGACAAGTGGGCATTGCTAGTTGAGCCAACACTTATTGCCCCGAGAATGTGGTCATGAGCTGCCTTCTTGAATTACTGCACTCTATTTGTTACATCCACAGTGTTGTTACAGAGGGAATCCCAGTATTCTGACCCAGCAACACTGAAGGAATGCTGATATAGTTCCAAGTCATGATGGTGAGAGGCTTGGAGGGGAACTTGCATATGGTGGTGTCCACCTGTATCAACTGTTCTTGTCTTTCTAGATGGTAATGGTCATGGGTTTAATGAGTATTGGTGAATTTCAGCAGAGCATCCTGTAGATGGCACACACTGCTGGCACTGTGCTACAGAGATGGAAGGATTGAATATTTGTGGATGTGGTGCCAATCGAGTAGGCTGCTTTGACCTGGATGGTGTTAAGCTTCTTGAATGTTGTTGAAGGTGCGCTGACCAACGCAAGTGTTGTGTATTCCATCATACTCCTGATTTGTGCCTTGTAGATAGTGGGCAGGTTCTGGACCCTGCTGCAGTTTCTGAAATTGTTCTTTGGATTAAAGAGGGGATCTCACTCCCTCTCAGAACAATCTGTTTATTGTCCCTTGATGCTGCTTGCCTGCTCTCATTGCTCACTCCCGTAATTGAAAGAATTTCTTCAATATTTGAAAGAGGTAGATCTTTACAGAACCTAGTTGGTCACTGCATTCAACAGACCTTGCCCATTCAGTAACAATTCACAATCTACTTAAAAATATCAGAATCATATTTTGTCTTTGTGAAAAGTAAATTTCCAATAATAGTTTACAATTGCTTAGTTTCTTTCCCTCAACTTTCATCTGAATCAATTGAATTTTGGAAGGTTATAGTCAGGGTGCCTGAAATATTCTAAAACCCTGAGGTGACAACCATCCTTTATTTCCCTTTTGTGTTGTTATTTTCTTAATTGTTGTCCATTTGCTTGTATTAATTTTAGCGAGGTCCTGGTCTCTACTTCAGTATTTTCTGGGCAGATATGTCACCCTCTTGCTCAGCTCTAATAATTGAATCAAAGTAATTATTTGCAATTCAACCTACTTCCTTATTTTCATTTATAATATAAATTTTAGGAGGGCTATGTTAATATTAACCACCATCTTTTTCTAATAGAATTGTAAAAGTTTATTTACGGCCACAGGCAGGTCTCTGTGACAGGTTCCTACACAGAAAGCATTGAGGAAATTAAATGGTCCTTTTATGGTGACAAGTACTACATCTGGATTTTGTGAACACTTTCCAGCACTTGATATAGAACAACCTGTCAATGAATTGTATTGATCGGAGAGCAGCACTCCAAATTCTGAGACAGGCATCGAATGTCATATTGTATACCAGCAGGATTTCTAGCCTTTAACCTGCTCTGATTTTGTTGATGATGTCTCAGAGTTGAGCCTTTTCTCTGTTCTATTTCTGTCACAGTTTCTTTACCCATCATTCTGCAAAAAGCTATTGTTCAGATATTCAATCAAAGTGAATGTGCCAGACTCTACAGTGACCCAGTAACTCCGCAAATGATCTGTGCTGGATTTATAGATGGCCAAGTGGATTCCTGTCAGGTCAGTAATGTGTCACAGTTCACCAAAAAAATTCTCTGAAAGTCTGCTCCCTATCTAAATGTATTTCACTTTTGTAAAGCTACTGTAATTGTTTATCAAGGAGACTTTGCAGAGCAATGGGTCGTGCCCTTATGTCTGAACGAGAAGCTTCAGGTCCGATTGTTGTTTATATTTTTACATGTGGATTTATTAAACCAACACAGAGCCCAGAATGAACTGGGTCAAACATTGCCTTTAACCTTTGAGACCAGGAAGTGAATCTAGCCTAGGCTGCCGTGGTAAACGTTTCTCTCAGGTTGCCGTAGTCCTGACATGATGAGAGTTTGAGCGAGACTTGCGACAGATGCATAACCGGCCAACAAAATCTCATTTGTACAGATTACAACCAATCTAATTCACCTATCACTTCAAAATCATCACATTCAATTATTTTGGCAAGTACTGAAACATGCCCCTCTTGCATCAGGTCCCTCCCAACATTCCCCGTTACTATCCCACTGCTCTCCCATTATCCCACCCCTACCACCATTGGTCCTCTCCTATTATTAACCTCCTCGCCCACTACTATTTTCCTTCTCCCACCATTCATCCTCATCCACAATCAGTCTTCACCCATGAATTGCTCCCTCCCATCATCCCTTTATTTCCAGTCTTTGCTGTGGCTCAGTGTGTAGCAACTACTCCTCAGCGTCAGAAGGTTGTGGGTTCAAACGTCAGCTCAGAGCTTACACATCCTTAAAAAAAGGCTGACAGTGTTGGACTGAGTACTGTACTGTTGAGCTACCACCTTTCAGGCCCTATTTGCCCTCTTGAGTGCATGCAAAAGACCAATAGGTATTAATTTAGAGCAGGAGAACATCCCAATGACTTGCCCAAAATTTCTGTCTCCAAAAAGCATTTTAAAAAAACCAGATTATCTGGTTGTTATTGTAATAGGAGCTTATTCTGTGCATACTGACCGTCTTGTTTCCTACAATACTGACCACAATTTCGTTAGCTTTACAACATTGTGGAGGTGGAATGGGTGCTCTATAAATGCAGTATTTTCTTTCCTCTTTCCATCTTCTCCCACTGACAGTTTCTCAGCAAGCAGTATTGGCGTCAGATTATAGGGTGATTTTACTATAGAGTGAACAATAGTTTAAAATGGATTAATTTAATACAGTGACTCTGTTTTTTATTGTATATCTCCCACTCTTCTCCACATGCCCTCCCCACATTTCCTATTTTAATTTTCACTGACAGTGATGGAAATTAATGATCCAATATCACACTTTGCCCTTCCTGACAATTGCCCTCACAAGACTGCTACCATGAGTTCCATCCTTTCACTTGTTCCTTGGAAACAAAGCCAAAATGAGATCTGATCTAATGAAATAAGATATTATTAAAGCAGTGAATGCTGTTTCTTTAACCAACCAGTGCACAATGACCTGATCACCTTCATCTATTTAAAAGAATAAGGTCAGGTTCTGTGTCCATCTTTAGTAGGGAGCATGGCAATGATTACTGAAATCTCTTATCTGACACGATTGGGCTGTAATCAGTTGTTATTTCTTTGAAATAAGGTATTTCCTTTAAAAATTGTATTTTTGCAGTAACATATTGAAAGCTTCAAACAAGCCTGGAGAAAATCTGGTTCTTGGAATTAGATAGTTAAAATATGACTCCTTTGTTTAAATTATCTTAACTCTGTGTGTGTGTGTCACCCACAATGTCATTCATCCATGGCATTTTTTTGTTCAAGGGCTATTCCCTTGTTTTTAAAACCTTGTTGATGCGACTGTTTTAAGCTTATTTATTCATATTTGCTTCCGATTCATGTATCTTGTAAGAGTTTGAAATATAAAAATGGAGAAGGAAAATAAGGCAGTTTGCATTTGTAGAGATGCTGCCAGTGACTTTCTGTCCAGTGAAGCACATTTATCTCATTCTGACATGCCTCACATTCAGACATTTATTTATCTTTGGATTTTTTTTTTAGCTGAGATAGCCGTGGAAGGACATATGTATCTGTGACTTTAGCAAGTTCAGTAGAAGTTCTTGATGGTGATTCACATTTTGTAATGCAGCCCATGCGAATATGCTGCATTCAAACACACAGAATTTTGTACCCAGAATAATGGTTGAGGTAACTACTCAGTCCTGTTTAAAATCACCAATGTTTCCATGCAGTGCAGATTATGCCTGTAGGTGGTGATGTGAGGCCTGGTTCCAAAGATTACTTGATGTTAATTCAAAACTAGATCAGGGTAAACTTCTGCAATTACCTAATTCAGTAGTGTTAGAAGATGCTTACCATTTTTTATTGCAAGTTTACTGAGGTAAATTTGTAAGCTTGTGGTCAATTTGTTGTTTGCCAATTTGTGCACTTCATTTATGAACTATTCCCAGTGGCATCAACTTCCCTTCATTTGCCCAAATGAATGATCCGACAGCATTGTGAAAGTAAGATCCTGATCCTGTACCATGTCCCTCTCTATACCCCTTATTCTCATACATTATCCCCAACTGAATGATGCTGTTAGCATTGTGAAATTGAGCTCTCGATCCTGTACCACCCTCTCTATAACCCTCATTCTCTCTCACTATCCTTGAACTCCCTCTCTCACTGGATAATGGATATTGTTCAATAATCAATCTCATTTTGACAATATTCAGTAAAAACGTCACGAAGCTTTCTTCCTAAACTTTTGGTTGCCTGACTCCCCTGAAAATTCGATGTACCAGTGGGGGTTATTACAGACTTGAACAGCACAGAAACAGACCCTTCGGTCTAACCTGTCCATGCCAACCAGATATCCTAAATTAATCTAGTCCCATTTGCCAACATTTGGCCCATATCAATTTAAATCCTTCATATTCATGTACCCATCCAGATGCCTCATGTACCAACCTCCACCACTTCCTCTGGCAGCTCGTTCCATACACGCACCACCCTCTGTGTGAAAAGGTTGCCCCTTAGGTCCCTCTCACCTTTAAACCTATGCCCTCCAGTTTTGGGCTCCCCTACTGTGGGAAAAAGACCTTGGCTATTCATCCTATGGATGCCACTCATGACTTTTAAACCTCTATGAGGTCACCCCTCAGCCTCCAGTGCTCCAGGGAAAATAGCCCCAGCCTATTCAGCCTCTCCCTATAGCTCAAACCTTCCAACCCCAGCAACAAGCTTGTAAATCTTTTCTGTACCCTTTCAAGTTTCACAACATCTTTCCTATAGCAGGGAGACTAGGATTGAACCCAATATGCCAAAAGTGGCCTAACCAATGTTCTTTACAGATGCAACATGACATCCCAACTCCTATACTCAGTGCACTGACCATAAAGGCAAGTGGACCAAATGCCTTTTTCACAACCTGTCAACCTGTAACTCCATTATATTAGCTCCTTACCCCATTTACCCATTACAAGCAGCTCTGCTTCATAGACACTGGCAAATGCACCAAAAGAGGAAGAGGGGCTGCTGAGTGAGTCAGTGGAAGGGTTGGGGTTGAGACGAGTGTTTGGAAGAAGGGTTGGGATGTGGGTGTGCAGGGGAGGGTAGTGTTGGTAGGATTGCGTGTGTATGCAGGCTCATTATAACATATCTGCAAGGTTTGGAGGGTGCAGAAAAGACATAACCGGGGCTGTTGTCACTAGGAATTATGGAGAACCTGGCTGAAACTTATGAGTTCAAAGAATAACAATAATATCACAAAGTTCTTTAAAACATAGATTTTCATATTTAAAAGATGTAGTGTATGTTGACCCATAAAATGTGGTCCTTAATGATTATATATTGACTGTTACTGTGCTGCTTTGTTTCTGTTCTGTTTTTGCTCGTGTCTGGGTCACTTTAATTTTTAAGGTTAAAATGGGGTAACATCAGAAAGTGAGTTTGGGAGGTGCTGTTTAAGGATGTGCAATGATTTCTGGACTGTATTTCCTTCTGGTCAGGGCGATTCTGGTGGACCAATGGTTTGTGAAGAGTCACCAGGCAAATGGCTCCTGGCTGGTATCGTGAGCTGGGGAGAAGGCTGTGCTCGACCAAACAAACCTGGTGTCTATACAAGAGTGACCGCAATCCGGGACTGGATCCAGCACACAATGTCCCAGACCAACACCACCATTACTCTGACAGAGAGCAATACTGAACAGACAGATTCAGTAAATAGAAGCATTGTTGCCTCTAAATTAATAGTCGGTGGGTATTCAGACTCTGTGTTTGTGTGTGTGTGTGTTTGTTGCATAACAGTGTGAGGAAAGGTCAGGTTACTGATCCAGTGCCTGTAATGCCTGACACGTCCCCTCATAAATTTTCTGATTTCAAGTGAGCAGCTCTTCCTTCTCCAACCTCTACTCATAGTGTTCCTGATTGCTACACAGAACAGGGGTGTGAGTCAAATTCAATTGAAATGATGGGCATGAGCTGAAATCCTGACACTTGGCACAGGGCACCTTCAATAAAAGTTATTTGGATAAACGGCAATAAAAATTGGTCTGGATTTTGCCTGTAAAACAGGTCCATACATAAAATAGTACAGCAACATGCCCTTAAGGCCATTATGAGAATATAAGTCTCAGTTGTCAGCCAGCAACATTTGGGGATTGAACCCACGACCTTGGCATTATTAGCACCCTGATCTAACCATCTGAGCGAACCCCTAGCCTCAAACCAGATGCTGGCTCCATTGTCCAGCATCCTTGCAGATAACATCCATAGGAATATTTACAGGGATGAGGAACTTCTGTTATGAAGATAGATTGGAGAAGTTGGGACTGTTTTCCATGGAGAAGAAAGAGCTAGAGGAGATTTGATGCAAGTATTCAAAATGATGAGGGGTCTGGATAGAGTAGAAAGGGTAGAATTTCCCACTTGTGAAAGAGGTTTTAAGTTTAAGGAAATTGGCAAAAGAAGCAAAAAAGTGAAATGAGGAAAAACAAAACCACAGCGAGTGGTCAGGGTTGGAATGACATTTAAAGGGGAAGCAAATGGTTATTTGAAAATAAAAGGGTTAATGGGAGAAGGCAGGGCAATGGCACTAAATGAAATGTGAAATAACTCCGCAGAGGCTGATATCCCATCACCACGTCACCCTTTATTTATATGTGAACAATCCTGACACTCCCCTTTTTATCTGTCTGCCAGGACCTTTTGATTGGATCATTAACAGCCCCAATTGGGCAACGCATATTCTATGAGGTCTACCTGGCCTACCTCATTACAATCTCTACAAAATGCTCTGTTGAGGTGCTGGTGTAGTATCAATGATCCAAAAGGCCTCATCCAGAGCTGTAATAATTTTGTGATTCTATGATTCAGTGATTTATTTGTGCTTAGTCTTTGGGGAACCCTGGTAACTGTGTGAAATCAGCACTGGATAAATTTTAACATGTACAGAAGGGTTCTGGTCTTGTTTAATACCTTTTCTGCAGAACAAGTAAAAAAACTCGAGACTGCATGAACTGTGCAGGCTTTTCCAGTTTGAAAGTGAGCCATAAAGCTGCACGGTATTCAGCTTTCCTCCATCATTTCCATGTAACAGAGACAAAAGGATCCTCTCAAGTGAAAATCCCACAGCTCCATCCTCTCATTTCCCATTGATCCAAAATCTTCCACTGAATACTCTTCATGGTATCCCAGGTTTCAGCCACTCAGTTACTGACCACTCCTCTCTCATTCACCACATTGATGGCTCTGTAAGACCCAGTACTGGCCTTCACACCATCTCTTTGTCTACCCCCCAAGTCCCCACTTTCCCTCTCCACACTTTCAGTCCCACCCTTGCCCCAGCTTCAAGTTAAAGTGTGCACAATGAAGAAGGATAAGATTATGATCAACTGTGTTAGCCACTCATGTGAGTGGGGCGGATTGGGCTGGGGTGGGAGTGCTTTAAACTGTACCTCCACAAGAATCAGTGTCTTCTGGAAAGGAGGGGAAAGGATGAACTGGGAAACAGCCAAAATCTTTCAAATTATAAAGAGACTGCTGTCATTCTCACTCAATTCCCCCTCATTCCTCAAAGTTTAAGTATGGATGGAAAGTGTCTGATTGAGAACACAATGACTGGTGGTCAATAAAGGGGGTGATGAACTTAATGATTACATGTTGCATCAAACCTCAAACTAATGGTGTTCTTCCATCTTGTAGAAGTTCGCTGTACAGCCTCTACTTTCAAGTGTTCTACTGACAGTTGTATTGATAAGCACAACGCAGAGTGTGATGGCATCAAAGACTGTGTTACAGGGTCTGACGAGGCAAATTGCAGTGAGTACATTTACTTTCATCTCTGATTGAGAGGACAAGTACTTGTGATTTGGGGCCAGCAGTCCGTTTGTGATTATAAAGGCCAATGTTAAACATGCTACACAGCAGGTTTTCTCTACCCTTGAGAAAGACTATCAGGCTGCACTGACAACTCCTCAGCCCTGCCCACCCTATTACCCCATAACTATGATATTATTGAGAAACTCATTCAATAATTCAATGATAATTGAAGACATCTGGATATGTACATTAAGCTTGATAGCACTTGAAGCAGAAAAGTTTAACGGTTTTAAAAGCACATCACTTTAATGTGTAAGTGAACATACATACAAAAATTGTGCCCTCATGCCTGCTCATTCCATAAGATCATAGCTAATCTGATTGTAGCTTCAACTGTACTTTCCCACTTAACTCAATAAGCTTTGACTGCCTTGTTAGTCAAGAACCTATCTACCTCTGTCTTTAAAAATATTCAATGACCTTGCACCAACGCTGTCTGGGGAAGATAGTTCCATATACTCATGACCTTCTGAGAGGAAAAGTTTCTAATCTCCATCTTAAATGGGAGATCCCTTATTTTTCAAACTGTTTTACCTGGTTCCAATGCCTCCCAAAAGGGGAAACATCCATTCAGTATCCACGCTCTTAAGTCCTTGGGGATTCTCTGTTTCAAAAAGATCGCCTCTCAATCTTCTAAATACCAAGGGATTCAGGTCCAATTTGTCCATTTCTCATCAGATTACTCCCACACCCCAGGAATCAGCTGAGTGAATTTCCTTTGAAATGCTTCTAATGCAATTATGTTCTTTCTTAAATAACAAGACCAAATTATACTCAGTACTCTAGATGTGGTGTCACCAAAGTCCTGTATAGCTGCAGCAAAAAGCATCTCTACTTTTATATTCTATTCCCCTCATAATGAAAAGCATCATTCCATTTGCGTTCTTATCACTTGCTGAATCCTAACCTCTTACAGTTCATTTAACAGGAAACCCAGATTTCGCTGTACCTTTTGAGGTCTACAATCTCTCTCTATTTAAAAAAAAATGCTGTTTTCTTTCCTGCAAATTCAGCCAATGTGGCCAAGTTCACCCATTCCTATATTCTACTATCAATTTCCAAGTCTTTGCCCACTCACTTACCCTGTCTATATCCCTTTGCAAACTCCTTATGTCCTCCTCACAATGTACCTTTCTATTTATCTTTGTGAGATGAGCAACCATTCATTTGGTGCCTCTATCCAAGTCAGAGATTGCAAATAATTGAAGCCTCAGCTCTGATCCCTGTGCAACTCCATTCACGACATCTTGCCAGCCCAAAACTGACCTATTTATGCCTATTTTAGACAAACAGGAGGATGGAAGAACACAGCAAGCCAAGCAGCATCTGGGTGGAAAGGAGAAGTCAATGTTTTGGGCATTACCCTTCTTCAGGACTGAAGTCTTTCAGCCTGTAATGTTCTTCTAGACTCCTGTTTATCTACCTTGGATTCCAGCATCTGCAGTTTTTTTTTGTCTCTACCCATATTTATGCCTATCCTCTGTTTCCTCTTAGTTACCCCATCTTCTTGTCATGCTAATATGTTATCCCATCCAGCATGAGTTCTTACTTTGTGGAGTAATCCTTTGATATAGCACCTTGTCAAAACATGTAGTTACAAACTCCCTCAAAGAATTCTAATAGATTAGTCAAATATAATTTCTCTTCCAAAAAACCATGTTGGCTCCATCTGATTGCACTGAGATTTTCAAAATACCCTGCTGCAAACTCCTTCATAGAGTCTAACATTTTCCTTATTACAGATATTAAACTAACTAGTCCCACAGTTTCCCAATTTCTATCTTCTTCCTTCTGTGAATAGAGGGGTTACCTTTGCTTGTGATGTAATGATTGGGTTTCCTTTTAATCTACCTTGCCTTGCTCCACCATACTTGCTCCCATTTCACATTATACACTGTAATTTTCACTCAGGCAAGGCTGTCACTCAATATTTACATAATATAATTTTTGGAGCCTGAACCCAATTGGAACATGAAAACCACCATGAAAAAAAAACATCCATTTTGAATATAACTAACAACAGAGTGGCAATTAAATATTACACCGTGAATACCACTGTGAACAACAATAAATACCACATCAAATAGCACCATAAACATGGCCATGGCTATGAAAATACCACTGTATAGCTGTACAGATTATTGACACATCATCATGCACATCTCTAAAAAAAATTAACAGTCTCAATTACACCACTGTGCCCATCAACAGGCACTCAACCAAGCATAATGCCCACACATGTTGCTGGGTACATCACCTGCCATAGCACAGCACTGATCATGGCACACATTTGTGACAGAGATTCTCTCCTGCAATTGCCTAACAAAAGCTTTAACACCTTGGTAAAGTCTTTGGTCCTTGTTTTGATATTTGGTCCAATCGGTCCAATATTAAATGTTTCAGTTGAGTTTTGAAGTGCAGCGAACTCTGTAACTGAGCTCAGTTTTGTTTATAGGTTGTGGAACTGCACCCCTGATGGTTGGAACTAGAATTGTGGGAGGAGTGAACAGCTTTCCTGGAGAATTTCCTTGGCAAATCAGTTTGCAGATATTGTACTTCGGACATGTGTGTGGTGGAACCCTAATATCAACTAATTGGGTGGTCACTGCTGCTCATTGTTTTATAACGTACGTGAACAGTTTTCAGACAACAACATGGGACTGTATGTACTAACTGATTCAGACAGGATGATATCACTTTTTTGACTGACTTGAATGCATGCAAACATATCATATTCGTCAACATATCTGTAGCAGTGAGGATACCCATTCATTGCAGGGACACCTTCCCATAACAGAGAGCACATTCATCCGTAGCCTGAGCAAACCCAATGATAACCATGTGCACAAACACACACACACCACTTTATGAACATTGCATTGTGCTTACACTCAGATCTGTGTGCACAGCCACTCATTGCACACTCGGAGCAATTTGTACAGCCACTCATTGCAGTATGCACACATGGAGCAATTTGTTCAGCCACCTATGCAATGTGCCCACTCCGAAGTTTACACTGCCACCTAATGCAAGTGCACACTCAGAAGAACAGTGTATACACAGCCACTCATTGCAACAGGCAAACATATACAAAGAGACACGTATATAAATACAGTAATGTTGAGCTGCTATCTAACTCCATTGTATTGGTCTTTGCTTTACATGGTTTATTTAAACTGCTAAAAAGTGTCACACTTTATAGGTTGAATATTGGAAGCTCCAAGCAGCAGCATTGTTAACATAAGGATGTAGACCGATATAGATAGATTGAGTGAGTGGGCAAAAATCTAGCAGATACAGCATTATGTGGGAAAATGTGAGGTTTGGCAGGAAGGAAAAAAGGAGAGTGTTATTTAAACTGTGAATAACTGCAGAATTCTGAGGGGCAGAAGGGTCTAGGTATTTCAGTGTGTGTTCGCAAAAAGTTAATATGCAGGCACAGCAAGTGATTAATAAGGATAATGGAATGATAAACCTTATTACAAGGGGAATTGAACATAAAGGGATGATATGCTTCAGTTATACAGGAATTGGTGAAACCACATCTTGAATAGTATGCAATTTTGGCCTCCTTATTTAATGAAGGATGTAAATGGTTTGGAAGCTGTTCATAGGTCTATGAGGTTGATACGTAGAAAGAACAGTTTGACTTATGAAGAAAGATTGGACAGGCGAGGCTTGCTTACTATAGAGTTTAGAAGATGAAGGAGTGATTTGATCTTGAATGTTTTTGACCAAGTGGCTGTGGAAAGAGTTTGTACTGTTGTGAGTGAGAACATGATTAGGAGACACTGTGTTTTAAAATTAGGGATTGCTCTTGTAGGACAGCGATTAGGAATTTAGCTTTCTCTCAGAGTTTTGTGATTCTGAAAATCTCCCTTAGAAAGTGGTGGAAGTAGTATCATTGAATATTGTTAAGGTGGAGACAGATAGATTCTTTTTGGGTCAGGACATTGCAGGTTATTGTGAATTGATGGGAATCTGAAATCTGGAACAGAAACAGACCAGAATGAGGCCATTCAGTCCTTTGAGCCTGCTTCACCATTCAAGAATATCATGATTGATCTGGTTCTGGTCTCAGTTCCACTCTTCTGCCTGCCACCCATAGCCCTTAACTCCATTGTCCATCAAATATCAAACTATCTGAGCCTTAAATAAATTCAATAACCCGGTCTGCACTGTTTCTGGGAAGGAGAAGTCCACAGATTAATGACCCTGAGAGAACAAAAATTCTACTAATCTCTGTCTTAAATGGGAGAAATCTTATTTTTAAACTGTGTCCCTTAATTCTGGCTTCTCCTATAGGGGAAAACATTCTCTCAGCATCTATCCTGTCAAGCCCCCTTAGGACCTTATATGTTTCTATAAGATCATCTCTCAATCTTCTAAACTCGTAAAGATAAAGACTCAGCCTATTCAAAGAGATATAGAGAGGAACCAAAGATACATAATTACAATGGAAGTGCGAAATATTTAAAATAAGTAGGTTTTCTATAAGATGCGAATGTTGACTGAACCATAAACAGATGTTTGATTTAATTTTCCTTTCAAAGTCAGAAGAATGTGAATCGCTGGCTCGGTTACCTCGGAACACTCCAGCGTGTGGGATCTAAAGGCACTAAAGTAACCTTTAAACGCCTCATCAGCCACCCCTCCTTCAATATTTTCTCTCTGGATTATGATATTGCCCTCTTGGAACTGTCTAAACCTGTGGCCTTTACTGAAGTCATTCAGCCTGCCTGTGTACCATCACCTTCCCACAGATTCTTAGCAGGAACAAAATGTTATGTAACAGGCTGGGGCACCACAGCAGAAGTGGGTAAGTGGCAGTACAAAATTACACCGCACCTGTTTGCCTGAGTATTACAGTGTGTGCAATCATTGTTTTGCAAGTGGCTTATGATGAATTGGCAGATTAAAACAGAGAAACAGGCTGATTCACCTCTGAAACAAGCACAGAGAGGTGTGTGGAAAACAGGGTCACCAGAAGAGAGAATATTGAAGTTTGGAAGGGAGCAACACACAGATCATGAAACAGAACAAAAAAAATTTAGAGAGGAGGACATTTTTTTAAAAACTGGTACATGAATAAAGAGGAAATGAGGATGAAAGAAATATGCAGAAGAATAGAGTTAGGGACCAAGAGGGAAAGGGAAGATATGAGAGGGAAGCAGAGAGCAAGGGAAGAGAAAGTGAACAAGCCCAAGAGAGAAAGGAAAATTGTTATAGCAGGCTATGAGCAAAGGGAGAAAACGTCAGAGCAAGCAATTGCTAAAGCACACCTGCAGAATGGTGAAGACAGCGGGAGGAGAAAGACAGTGAGTGGAGGGGGCAGAGAGTGGGAGGAGGAGGAGGAGAATTTGATGAAGATCCAGATGATTGACTGCAAGATAAACACTACAAGATGTGGTAGAATTTATTTGTGTTGCGAAATCAACAGATATTTATGTTTATACAGCACCTTTAAGGAGTGAAATGTTCTAAGGTGTTTCATGGTGAATGTACAAAGCAAAGTATGACACTGAACCACATAAAGAGAAATTAGGTCAGATAACCAAACACTTAGTTGAAGGATAGATTTTAAGGAGAATATTAAAGGAGGTAAACAAGGTAAAGAGGCATAGAAAGGGTTTTCAAGAGCTGGGGACCAAGTAAATGAAAAGTACCACCACCAATTGAAACAATTAAAATTGGAGATACATTAGAGGCCAGAGTTTGAGTAGGGCTGATCATTCAGAGAGTAATGGGACCGGAGGAGTTTACAGAGATAGGGAGGGATGAGGCCATGGAGAGATTTGAAAACAAGTTTAAAATCAACATGTTCCTTGACAGAAGCCAATGTGGTCAGTGACCAAAGGGTGAGAGTGAGACAGGAATAAGTGAATTCCAAAATGTATACTGCTTGCTGTTGCAAATGAAACATCTAGTGAAATATTCACAAATGGGTACTTCCATTAAATGCTGCGATAGGTTGTAATAAATCTGGCATTTACCCTTCTTACTCCAGAATACAAACGTGCTGCAGTTTGAGGTTCTGAAGAAGGAACCTTAATCACTTCATTTATGTTACAGCATTTACTGTTACAAATCACTGCTTTCTCTGCTCCATACAGGCTTCTTGTCTTATACGCTGCAGAAAGCTGAAGTAAATCTGTTCAGCAACAGTTTGTGTCTGGACCTGTACGGCAGACAGATCACTCCCAGAATGTTCTGTGCGGGGAGGCTGAATGGAGGAGTGGACACCTGCCAGGTAAGCTGTCAAGGATCTGTCAATTTGGGAAACATAGCAGCTTAAGGTAATAATGGAATCCTTTGAGTTGGCAAAGGTAACAAATGACCTGGACTCCACTATTTTTTAGTGATAAATCTGATGCATTTTTTTCACATTGCATATTCTTGAACAATATATAATTGTAATTTGCAGATGATAGCTCTGTGCTGATAAATGTATTCCTTGTCAGTGCAGTATATCAGCTCTAGGTGTTAGCAAGAGGGCAGGGCATCAGATATCCATCCCTCTAGTTGTGTGACGAATGGAAGGAGATCAGTGACTGAACTTGCAACAACAAAAATAAACAACATTATGAATCCCTGGATACACTTTACTTTTTTTTCATGGGTTAACAGTGAAGCACTGTTTTTGACTAATGTAGTTAATTAACTAATTGTTGGATACTGTATCAATGGAGCATAACATCAGGCCTAGGAAAAGGACCCATATTCATCCTGGCAATATTAGATTAATTTTGAGATTTAAGTAAAATTTAGTATCCCAGAGACATAAATTAAAAATAAGGATGTTAGTTGTAAGAAGGAATAGAAAGAAAGAATTAATTTATATTAATGTACTCCTGATTTTTTAACAGTAAATCACAGCTGTTGCTGATAGGTCATTTGCTGTTCCTCCATGCTATGTGTGGAAAGTAAAGACAGTTAATAAATTTTGCACATTGTTGGAAACAGTATTTGTGCACTGTCATTGGTATGCACATTTGCACAGAGATGATGTGTTTTAATTGTACAAACACAAAGCATTTAATTCTGACAGCCTGTGCATTACTGCCATTGGTCACCTTTTACCACAGGCCAATAGCATCACAAAAAAATGAGTTATGAATTATTTTGAAGTATAATTAATTGCTGTTGCTACATCTGTCTACATAATTTTTGCCTTATCAAGATCCCTCAATTGGCAAACTGATGAATAACCAGATAATCTATTTCTGATTTTATTGGCTAAATGATAATTGCTAACCTGGAAAACAGAACTCCCTGTATCTCTTTCAGTTCAGCCACGGGATTTATTTTTTCATGTCATCCTGAACAGAACCTCAGTTTAGCATCTCAAAAGTCAGAGAATCATTTACACCTAAAAGACCAGCTGAGTTGTAGAATCAATTATCAGAGTATTACACTGAAACAAATGATAGAAATGAGTTCAAGAGACAGTGATTGTTTCCACAGAGACAGAGAGAGGAAAAGCAGGAGTTGTTAGGTATGTGAGTGGTTTGAGGCTTATGGTGAAAATATGGGACAGTTACGATGAAATATTTGGTGAATGGACATGTCAATGGAATTGAGGGATTGAGTGAGAATGTGGGTATGTGGGCTATTAGATGTGGTGTTGTCTAATCATGTCTGTCCACAGAGTTAGTGGTAACTCATTGGGCTTCAGGTGTTATTTGAGTTCCTTTCAGTCACACACAGAACTTTGATATTGTATATCTTCACAGTCACAATCAGATGAATCAGATAAGCAGCTGAACGATTACTTTCACTGTCACATGATTAAAGTTATGTATTTTGGAGTAGATCAATTTTAACTGTTGCATTCAGTGAGCGATGCACAGACAATTCCATGGCATTGTACAATATTCCATTGGCAGTTAATCTCCACATTGCCATCTGGTACCTCTTAGTGACTTGGTCACTTGTTAAAAAAGATCAAGATGTTGAAGCAGCTCCTGACTGTGCATGTCAAAATGAGCTAAAAACACAGCATGTGAGCAGTGATTGACAGATCTGTCTGAGACAATGACTCAATAGAGTACATTTTTCCTTACATTTTGTGTAGTAATAATGGATTTGTCTTTACAGGGTGATTCAGGTGGCCCACTAGTTTGCAAGGAATCCTCAGGGAAGTGGTTCCTTGTTGGAATTACAAGCTGGGGTATCGGCTGTGCAAAAGCAAATGCGCCTGGAGTCTACAGCAGAGTTACAGCTCTTCACAGTTTCATTGCACAATATGTTTTCTGAAAGCTGAAAGGTTCACATCATTCTTGATTTAATCAAACACTGTAATACATGCATTGGGATTCAATCTCAATGTGTGGGCCTCACTGGGGCCATCAACTCTGTATTCATTTCAAACACCCTGTGATCCGCTCTCTCAGTCTTCAGTATAATTTCTACAATCATTTTATTTGTGCAGTAATATGTATTTTAATCAATTGAGAATATGATTTGTCGAGATTTTTTACACAGCTCCTTACTTTGTGATTCTTGATCCTGACAAATCAAATAAGATATCATACTTTATGTCATCATAATAATCTCAGTCCTACCTGTTGTCAGCATCTCACCTCAAATGCCTGCAAGAATTTGAGGCTAAGCAGGGCCCAGTCTGTAGAAGGTATAACATGGGGAAATTTGTATTTAAACTATTCCTTGCAGAGTACCAAAATTGTTTTGCCAAATATTGGAATTCAGTAATATTAAAGTGGGATGATATAAAATCTTCTTAAATCAACTCTTAAATACTGAAAAGTAGATGTTACTTTCGCTGATGTTATTGGATGAACTTTTAATATGTTCATACAAGTTGCTAACCCACCAAAAACAGAAGTGTTTCTGCATATTATGCCTTGTATAACATCATGGACAGTATTTGCAGGCTTATAAGAACCTTATAATTAAAAGGTACAATCATACTGAGGGTTTTGTCATATAGAATGATACATTATTGTTTGAGTGAGAGTATTGACAAGTGACATTGACAAACGGTAGTTTATTGGTATATCAGATTAATCACTTTGATTTAATTATTCCTCTGAATTGAAACAATATTTTTTATTCTGTAAATTTCTATATGACTAGCATAAGCTAAATGTTTATATTTTCCACAATACTTAACATTGTATTGTATTAGTGCATTTTTTCAGCATTGCTCATGTACATGAAAAAGTGTTATTAATGGATCAGGAAACTACTTCTTCAGAGGTGGTAGCAATGCTGGTTTTCACACCAACAGGTTAATAGCTGGAATTTGAAACCAGACAAGAAATCTTACAAATTATAGGGTTTGATCAGTTAATGATGAAGTTTTTCTCCCTTCTTTTGAAGCAGTAGTAATATGTCAGCACTGTGTTTTTCTTCTTCCATGGTATGTAGGTATAATTGCCAGGGTCAGCATTTGTTGCCAATCTCTGGAGAAGGTGGTGGTGTGCTACCTTCTTGAACCACTACCGTCCCTTTTGGACAGAGGTGTACCCCCGGTGCTGTTAGAAAGGGAGACCCAAGATTTTAATCCTGCAACAGTGAAGGGTTGCTGTGTCCCTGAGTACCCCAAAATCCACGCTAAGGTTCCAATTCATGATGATGTGTGGCTTAGAGGGGGCTTACAGATGCTGGTGTTCCACGCATCTGGTACCCTCATTCTTTTAGGTGATAGAAATCTCAGGTTTGGAGGATGCTGTCGAACAAACTTTGGTGAGTTGCCACAGTCCATTGTGATACATGCTTCTATCTCTATGCACTGGTGGTTGAAGGAGTGAAGTTGGAAAATGAGATGCTGATTAAAGTGGGATGCTTTGTCCTGGATGTTTTATCAGAAATGTAAACACTAGCCGAAAAAAACTACAGTTGTGTTTATTGAAAAAGCAAAAGGAGGCTAAACGAAGTTTTACAGAAGTCAGGCAAGATAACTATACATGGGGAAAGCGATCACTGAAGAGAAAGCAGCCAATTTTATGCGGTGTCTTTATATCAATAGCTGGAATATTACAAATAAAATAGAATAACTAAAAACACATGGACGGATTGATCTGTTAGCAATGACAAATCCAGCTGCAACTTTAGTTAGAATGAAAGTCAGAAATTCAAGCTTTAATATTCATAGGAGTTCTTGTGGCACAAGCATCTTGTGACAGGTAGCACCCTGTCTCTTGACCAGAAGTACAGATGGCCAGGAAAGATTTATTCATAGCCTGATTAAACAGGTTGAGTACTAGCCTCTAAATCTTTCCAACAATCGCAGATAGTAGGAGCAGGAGAGATTCCTGGTCAGCAGGTGATTGTAATAAAGTTGGAATCTTTACCATCACTATCAATCAATGGGGACCCCTCTTGTGGTGCATTAGTAGTGTCACTACCCCGGACCAAGAGGCCTGGGTTCAAGTCCCACCTGCTCTAAAGATGTGTAATAACATCCCTGAATGGATTGATTAGGGGAAAAAAAACATCACTATTCATAGCTCCAGACTATAAAAGGCATGTAATGTTGCACATTGATACAGCAACACAGATTCCCACAGAATTTGTAAAGATGGAACATAGAAGGAAAGTAGACGAGCAGAATCTACAAAAGCACTAGCATAATACTAAAAGTATCACAGAATCCCTACAGTGTGGAGGCAGGCTATTCAGTCCTTGAGTCCACATTGACCATCCAAACAGCATCCCAACTAGACCCACCGCATCCCTATAACCCTGCATTTCTCATGGCTAACCCACCTAGCCTGCACATCCCTGGCCACTATGGGCAATTTCGGCACGGTCAACTCACCTAACCTGCACAGATTTGGACTGTGAGAGAAAACTGGAGCACCCAGAGGAAACCCAAGGGGAGAATGTGCAAACTCCACACAGACAGTCACCCAAGGGTGGAATCAAACCTGTGTCCCTGGCAGCAGCACTAATCACTGAGCCACTGTGCTGCTTCTAAAAACAAGGAACAATTTGATGGATCTGTTCACAGAATGAAATGCTTGTGCACTTTCAGAGCAACTCAATGACCGATCTCATTTATTTCATCTTTGGTTTTTTGTTGAAAATTGGTTTATAAGCACAACATGGTGATGACCAGGAATCAAAGCCAGGTCAACTGCTTAGAAGGCAGCTATGCTCACCAGTATACCACCAGTGTTCTGCCAGAATTTCTATGGCACAGGAAAGTGTCTTAACAGAGGAAGCAGATTTAACTGCAAATGTAGATCAGAATGCATGTAAAAAGTAATGAAGGGAGATTTACCGGAACAAGAATGGGAATTAATTTCCTGAATATATTCAGGATCATTAGTAAAGTAGTGTATCATCAATGAGTCATGTGAACCTTAACATAGGTGCAAGTAATGAATCAGGAATAAAGATTTGCTAATAAATAAAACATTTGGTAATTCTTACACATTTCAGTCTACCGTGGATATTTCTTGTATATTATACCAAGCATTTTACATAAACTACTAACCATTCTGTAATTGTACAATTAGCCAGAGGTGTGCCCATTGTGATTTGAACAGGATATTGTGCTTTCTGTCAATGTCACCACACTCCAGTCTTCAGTTTGTTTGAAAGTGAAGTTAAACATTCAGTGAACAAGATCAGATACAAATTGTTAAGCTACAGCATTTCACCTTATGTGGATGTACAAGATAACAATTAAAGAAAAGTAATCTGCTTAAGTCAATCTTACTCCTTTCCTCACAAACATGGACTTTAGTAACCAAGTACCATGTCCAATTTGACTTACTCGTTATACCCAATTCAAGGATAAACCACGTCATTTAAACCTTCATAATATACAGGAAGACCAGGAAAAACAGGGATTCAGTCCAGGAAATATTGAAATCAGAAAATGAAGAAACCAGCTGTAGTCGCAGCATTTGTGGAGAGAGAACCAGAGTTATATTTCTGGTTTCCTTCAAAATTCAGGATATACTAAGATGGTGAGAGCAGGGTAACAAGACCCAGGCTGTGGGATCAGGATAACACAGAGCACCGAGATCAAACCATGCTGATAGACATGGCCATGTGACTGAACGGATGGAACGGTGCAATCTGGGAGTTGTAGTTCTCAAAACACCAGCCACCAACTAGTGCGCATGCACCCCTCCGTCCGCCTCGCGCTCGGTCCGTTGCTGCAGCAGGTTAGAGGGCTTTGGCTAGGATGGACAGCTTCTCTTCAGATTTCTCCTCAGGAGGGCCTGGAGGAGGGAAGGTGGACTCCGGGATGATCATGGAGCAGGTGAAACTGCAAATCGCCGTGGCAAACGCTCAGGAACTTTTACAGGTTGGTAGGCGCTAAATAGTATCCAACAGTAGGACCTGGCTTCACAGAGCTCCTCCCTCTAGTTACCGTCCTCACCAGTTCCCGCGGTATGATGGTCGGCCGGTCTGACCAATGAGAATTCATGGCGACGAGGGGGCGGGGGAATTTCGCGTATGACGTCATATGCACGGTATCTTGAGGGCAAAGGGCAATCCTGCGTTACATCTCCCCCCACGTGGAGGACAAGGACATTGAAAATCCCAACTGAAGCTGGTAACACCAGGGAAGTGAGCAGAAAGTTTGCAGATTTTTTTTATTTTGACGAATGGAATTTTCCATTTCGCAATGCTACGATATCCCGAAAAAAAATCATCTGCCAATCCGATGTAGTTTTGTTAGCCCCTCGAATACAATAACAAATTTTAAGGACCTTCCCAGGTCTAGCAAAGAACACAGAGATCTAAAGCACGGAAACAGACCCTTTGGTCCCACTCGTCCATATTATCCATTTGTTACCTCTAGGCTTAACTATCATAACACACTTCTACTTGGTCTCCCACATTCAACCTCCTTGTAATCTCAATAATATCTGAAACTCTGCTGCTCACCAGCACCAAAACTTGTTAACCCATCAACCCTGTGTTCCCTCACATACAAAGGCTCATTTTTATAAGCAACATATTAAAATTCTCACCATTGATTTAATTCCCGGCTGTGATCATTCTTATCTCCCCATACAACTCAAACTTTGAGACCTCGAGAATTCATTTAGTCAGATTCCAACAATGCATTTATTCATTGCTTCACTATTGGTGGCTGTTTCTACAGTTGCCAAAGCTCTTGTATTCCAAACCACTTGCAATAATTGCCAACATACCTTTGACTTCCTGGTCATATTGTTATATCTGCATGTTAACTTTTGGTTCTGAAGAAGGATCACTGGACCCAAAATGTTAACTCTACTTTCTCTCCACAGATGCTGCCAGACCTGCTTTGTTTCTCCAGCAATTTCTGTTTCTGTTAACTTTTTGTGTTTCGTTGATATTCCAATGCTTTTTAACGCCAATATTCAATAGTTTCCCACCATTTTAAAAAAAAGGTTTTCTATTCTTCCTACCAAAGGGAATAACCTAATTATAGAGTCATAGAGATGTACAGCATGGAGTTTCCCTACATAATGCTTGATCTGCCACCCTTCTTGCCCACTTATTTAAACTATCTACATCATTTTGCTGACTATTTCCTTGCAGTTTACTTTTGTGCCATTAAAATAGATTGCGAATTTTGTCTTCACTTTGCTACCTTTTTCTTTTCAATTACAGTCGTTATTTCCCTTTTTGTATCTTCTGGACAGTAAATATCCATTATCCTTCCATTCACAGCTTCTCTTGACATATATTTTGTTTACTTCCTTGACCAATTGCCACTCCCTTAGGCTTTGCACATGAACATTTTTGCTTATATAATCTCTCCTAATATCTAATATATTACAGATATTCCCTTTGTTTTACCTCTTCCTCCCCCTTTTCACTTACTTAAAACCTACTGCATCTCCAGTTTTCCCCAGTTTTGACGAAAGGTCACAGCCTTGAAGCGTGAACCTGGTTTATTTCTCCACAGATGTTGCCTTACCTGAGCATTTTCTGTTTTTATTGGCTTGTTTACCACTTTTTTAAAAATCATCAGCAAAAATGGATGTATTACATTCAGTCCCTTCAAGTCATGTTATAGTCTGTAAACAGCCGAGGTCAGCACTGATCTGTGCAGCATCTGTTAGTAGCAAATATACCAACATTAAACTGACCTGCCTATTTCAAACTCTTTCTGTCCTTTAATTACTCCACTACTCATGCTGTTATGTTACCCTAACCTTGTAAACACATTGAGTCAAGTAAAATGATATGAGGACTAATGAACAAAAGCGTTGTCAAAAAGGTAGGATATAAGGAGTGAAACAAAAGAAGGATGCTGACGATCTGGAACGAAGACATAAATTGCTTGAGAAACTCAGCAGGTCTGGCAGTGTCTGTGAAGAGAAAACAGAGTTAATGTTTCGAGATCTGTGACCCTTTTTCAGAAGGATATAAGGAGGGTCTGAATGGAGGAAGGAGTGCCAACGAGGGAACTGCAGACTTTAGGACCAAAGCAGCTGAAGGCGTGCCCTACACTACCTTAGGGAGGGAACGTAGAACATAGAACAGTACAGCACAGTACAGACCCTTCAGCCCACGATGTTGTGCCGACCTATTACCCTACTCTAAAATCAAACTACACTGCATATCCTACATTATACGATCATCCATGCGCCTAACCAAGAGTCGCTTAAATGTCCCTAATGTATCTGACCCCACTACCACCACTGGCAGCGCATTCCACTCACCCACCACTCTCTGTGTGAAGAACCTACCTCTGACATCTCCCCTATACCTTCCTCCAATCACCTTGAAATTATGTCCTCTTGTAATAGTCATTTCCGCCCTGGGAAAAAGTCTCTGACTATCCACTCTATCAATGCCTCTCATCATTTTGTACAACTCTATCAAGTCTCCTCTCATCTTTCTTCGCTCCAATGAGAAAAGCCCTAGCTCCCTCAACCTTTTCTCATAAGACCTGCCCTCCAGGCCAGACAGCATCCTGGTAAATCTCCTCTGCACCCTCTCTAAACCTTCCACATCCTTTCTATAATGAGGCGACCAGAACTGAACACTAGAGTTCCAGAATTTTGGCTTAATGGCATTTGGTATGCTTGCCTTTACTAGTAAGTGGATTGAGTATAGGAGTTGGGAGGTCAAGTTGCGGATATACAGGACATTGGTTAGGCCAGCATTGGAATACTACATGCAGTTCTGGTCTCCCTGTTTAAGGAAAGATGTTGTGAAACTTGAAAGGGTTCAGAAAAGATTTACAAGGATGTTGCCAGGGTTGGAGGGTTTGAGCTGTCAGGAGAGGCTGAGCAGACTGGGGCTATTTTCCCTGGAATGTCAGAAGCTGAGGGATGACCTTATAGAAGCTTATGAAACCACCATGAGGGGCATGGATAAGGTAAATAGACAAGGTCTTTTCCTCGGGGTTGGGGAATTCAAAACTACTGGGCATAGGTTTAAGGTGAGAGGGGTAAAAAGGGACCTAAGGGGCAACTTTTTCATGCAGAAGGTGCATGTATGGAATGAGCTGCTACAGGAAGTGTTGGAGGCTGGTACAATTACAGCATTTAAAAAAACATCTGGATGGGCATATGAATAGGAAGGGTTTAGAGGGATATGGGCCAAATGCTGGCAAATGGATATGTGGCCGGCATGGATGGGTTGGATCGAGGGATGTGTTTCTGTGCTGTAAATGTCAATGTCTAACATGTTTGCATAATTAACACCAGAACCAAAGACTACTGGTTAATTTGGTTTCTTAAACAAAAAAAATTTAAAGGTGACTAAGTTGTCTTCTGTCCCTTTAAGAAAGGTGCAAACTTTGAATTGTTAATGGCATTATCAAGATTTTTTTTAATGGTTTGTGGGCCTCGCTGCCAAGTTCAGTATTGTTCCCCATCTTTAGTTGCTAGGTAGTTTCAAAGGCCAGTTAATCACAGTACAGCAGGTCCAGGTAAGGTTGGCAGATTTCCTTTCTTTAAAGGACATTAGTGAACCAGATGGGCTCTTACGTACGTGTAAGCGTATGAATTAGAAGCAGAAATAGTCCTATTGGCCACTACATGCCTGTTCCAGTATTCTGTATGTTTATATATTTGCATCTACCCCAGATAATATTTGAAGCTCTTGCCTAACAGGAATCTGTCTAATTCTGCCTTAAAAATGCCCAATGATACTTCCTCCACCTCCTTCTGAGACAGAAAGTTCTGAAGTCTCACAACTGCACGAGAGAAAAGTTTCCACCTTTTCTGAAAACCGTGCAGGATATTAGATCATAGAAGTTATCATAGAGTTGCTACAGTGTGGAAACAGGCCCTTCAGCCCTACAAGTCCACACCGGCCCTCAGAGCATCCCACCCAGACCCATCACCCTATACCCCACCTAATCTACACACCCCTGAACACAATGGGCAGTTTAACGTGGCCAAACCACCTAGCCTGCACATCTTTAGACTGTGGAAGGAAACCGGAGCACCTGAAGGAAACCCACGCAG